TATTATTTTTAGTAATAATTTTATTAGTAGTAGTACTCCTTAATATGCATTTGTTTGTTCACCACAACAATCTAGAGGTTTATTGCTTAAATCTTGAGAAACATTTTCAGTGTCTTTGCAGAATCTAGTAAAGCCGTGATCAGAACATCCTCCGTTATTTAACAATTTTTTTTTATTTACTCAATACCAATTTTTCTTTGTTTGCATTTTGATTTTTATTTAACCTTTTTTTATTTCTTTTATATATTTTTTATATATTTTTTTAATGTTTCGAGTGATGCACGACTCTATCAGGGCACAGAATGTTCTCAATCGCCGAAGAAGGATGTACTTTATTATTATTTCATGTGTTTGTTTTTTATTCATTGTGGCTAGCGACGTCTTCTACCTGACAGGTCTTCTTTCTCTTTTTTATGACTATCTGATTCACTTTTTTCGCTTGGATGAGGTGGTCGGTCTAGAACCCAAAGTCCCAGTAGATCTTTTTTTTTTTTCCACGACAGCTTCTTGTTTGTGATGATGCAATTCGTTTACATGGTCGAACCAAAGTCGTTTGCATAAATCTAACCGCATCGCTAAACATATTCGATCCTACCCGCCTTTTTTTATATTGCTTTTGAGCTAACATCCTGAAGTCACCTTTGATGTGGTTTACGTCTCATATTTTTCCATACAAAGGCTGCATTTGATATTTTTCTATAGGTTTTATCTATTTTCGCTTTGATATAATTAGACCTGGTCTCGTACTTCTGTTCATTTTTTTCATATATTCTCTATCCGTCTGTCTTCGTTATGCTGCGTTGTTTCGAGCGGTTTTCATATTTTCACCTCGTTCTTTTACGTATCTTTCAAATCCCATTGTGTTTACTTGGAAACAGTTATCAGTACTGAGAAGTTCTCTTCCTTTTCAGTTCTTTGTTTTTTTTTTTACATAGCGTCTGCTGGTGTCATACCTAAATTTCTATCCGTTGTGTTTTTACACCAAAAGTAATGGGTGGCCTTCCTTTGAAATTAATAAACAACAAGTCTCTAAAATACTTCAGTAATATTCGTAACTAACGAATATTACTGGAGAGTTTTAAGTTCTTACTTAAATATCCAAATCTTACAAGTTCTTTCTAAGACATTTTGAAACTGTTCCAAGCGCACTAATAATAATAGCTGCAGCATAATTTCATATTCCACAATTTTTCTGGTTTTCTTGCGAAGGTTTTTTTCACTTTCTTGCTATTTTACTTTCAGGAATACTGAAATTTATTATTTAATAAAATTCCCTTCTCCAGCTCTACGATAACGACATATTGACTTTTAACAGAAATCTGTCAGATAAGTTTTTATTTTTTTGTAATTTTTTGAATTACAAAAAATGCTTTTATTTATTTATTTTTTTTTTTTAGATAGAAAAGTAAACTATTATTTTATTTTAAATATGAATATCATTATTAGATCGAATATTGAAAATTTCTCCAATTAGGGACGCCTTTCTTAAATCGTGAATGAGCAAGTCAAAGCTCTTGCTAAGGAGTTCGATCCTTACCGTGTCTGTGGTTATGCTCGGTTAAGCGAAACAGATAATAGATTTATGTAGAGATATATAACGGGTGGATTTTGGAATATTTTCGGTTCGACCCACTGTTTGTCATGCTAATTGTTCTGATGAGTTTTCCTGTTTGGTACTTAGACTTTATGAATTTAAGCGTTGGTACTAGATTGGCGATGTGCTCTAATCCTTTTACACTTGAAATGACTAACTGTAAGCGTAGTTGATATGTTCACAGTTTCTTCTTTTGCATTTCCCGCTTTTGGAACTCACTTCCGGTTTCTTGCTTTCCTGTCAACTTTGATCTTCAAAAATTTAAAAATCAATGTCAATCGTTCCTGTTCTTTTCTTGTCCTATCTCCTTAATAAAGTTTTCTTTATCGCGTATTATATCACACTTAGCAACTCTTTGTATCTTAGTAACTTTATTCCCTTCCCTGTGTTGAAGGGATTAAAAAAAAACTCCTCAAAATTCATTTTCTTGGTCAGGACAAGCACTATACAGAAGCCCGTTCGTACTCACATATTTGCCCAAAGTATTTATGTTATTTACATTTATTAATTCTCGCTTTGCGTTGTTCTATGAAAATTTATGTGACTTATGCTCCATACCCTACCGAATAGCTAATACATTATTAATCAATGAGTTGTCTGTACCTCATCAAGTCAGGTGAGATGGAGCTTACAACATCAATTACCATTTTCAGTTGAGAGCGAGAGACTCCGAAACACCATGTGGCCAATCCAAACTCCGGGCAATGTACCAAAACTAAAAACTGACAATTTCTTCTTCTGAAACTATCTTCAAACAGACCAGGTTTTATTTGGAAATAAACAACTGCTACCATAATTCTTCATTCAGCACCTTTAATTCAACAACAGACGCTCCGCTACTACGATTAACCTTTCGACCTCTGCCAGGTCAGAACATTAACTACAACGTGTGAACTTTCGCCGTATCCTTTTACCAAAGATATTTTTTTAAATTTATCAACTAATTTAAATCTTATTTCCCATAAACATTTTTCTCTACCCAGATTATTTTTATTAGGCAGAAGACGGTTTACACCCTTATTTTCTTATCACATAAATTATTGTAAATTCCTTTTGTTCAATTTTATCCTGTTTAAGGCTCCTTTATAGTGTGCCTAATGAATCAACCAATTTTTTTTCCATATGGCAAAATCACTATAACACAGTTCCAAATGCCAGGAAATAATGATTTTGTAACGCTTGTCTTGCTAATAATGTGAAGTTTATCGAACTTAAATATTACTTTTAATTCGGTCAGAACAGAAAATCTTATTGGAAAAACAACTAAAATACAATCAAGTTCATATTATTCTTGAACATTCTGTTAATCTAAGTGAAAAAAAAATGAATTATAAAGAAATTTAAAGTGATTCGTTTTCTCACTATATATCTGTGTGTGAGTGAGTGAAAGAGAAAGAGAGAGCGAGTATGCGCGTCTGTGAGTCAGAAAGGAAGAAAGATACAGTGTTTATTTATGTTTTCTTAATTTTCGGATTCGGTTGACGAATATCAAGCCAGACATGTTCCATGTGAAGAAAACGGGTTAAATTATGACCGCGAGTATTTAAGTCTTTTCTGTTTTCTCCCCCTTTATCCTCTCTCTCTCTTTCTCTCTCTCTCTCTCTCTCTCTATATATATATATATATATATATATATATATATATATATATATATATATATATATATATAATTTAATTTATCACTAGTAACAAACAGAAGAGTAACCAAACATGATCTTACACTTTTTTTTTTTCTTAAAAATCCTGTAAAGTGGTAGGGTTTATTTTATACTCCTAGAATATTTTCCGAAATCCCTTGATCTTTAAGTTTATCAAATCCTCTCTCAGACCGCGCGCGTGTGTGTGTGTGTGTGTGTGTGTGTGTGTGTGTGTGTGTGTTCTGAATTTGAAATTCCCTTTTTAGACTTTCAGATTTGATTATATAACAAAAAATGGCTAGTGATTACCGACAAAATATATGCATGTGATTGTATATCTAAAATAGCTCGTCCCGTTTTGGAAAATGCCCGATGCCACATTGAAATCAATAAAATGTTTGCTTGTGAATATAAAATACGGAAAAAGGAAAAAATCTTTCTTTGTGATGTCTTGGGGTAAATTTAAATTCTATGAAAAAAAAATCAAAGAGGTCAACGAGAGTGTATTCATCAATCTGAGAAATATTTTGGGCTTCCCCCAAACAGTTTAATATCTGATGGAAATTCCCCAAAGAGGTTTAAGAAATATAACAAAAGAAAACGGTATGATTTATGGTAAATTCTGAGCTGTTCCCTTCAATTCCAATTGGTCTTCAAGGACATCTTTTTTTTTTATTTATGTTCTTTTTTTTAATATTTTATTCCTTGTTTTTGTTGTTTTAGCTTTTTTGTTTCCTTCGTTGTTTTACAATTGGTTTGCTTGTTTTTTTTTTAGGATTTCTCTTAATTACCTTCAGGTTTATTTTTATTAAGATCTTTCTTTTTTTTTTTTTTCTCGGTCATTTTTCTTCCTCGCCAATATATATATATATATATATATATATATATATATATATATATATTCTGTCAGTGATAGTCTTCATTAGATATCCTTCTGTTTTTCTTTCTTTCCTTTTAGGATATTTTGACTCCCCTTAATTCTCCCTCACCTTTTTTCCCATCCACTCAACTATCTCTCCCTCTCTTCCTCTCTCTCTCTCACTCTCTCTCTCTCTCTCTCTCTCTCTCTCTCTCTCTTTCTCTCTCACAATTAATCCCTAAAATACAGAATAAATAAAGAATTAGATTATATCTTCCCAATTCAACTACCTATTTCTGAGGGAAGGCTACAAGGTTAGGGTGACCCGAGGGCGTTGAAAAGCATTATGCGTAATTTATTTGTCTCTGCAACCCCAATCAATATATTGGGGTTTTATTGCACGTCACACACGGAAAGAAGAAATATAACGCCGAAGTACAAAGAAGATTGAGAATAGATGGTAAAAGAATTGAAATGTTGGGGGTCAGGTGTTTTATTTGTAGGCAAATGATTTGTCACTGACAAAAGTACGACATTGACCAGCGACTCCTTTGAAGCTGATGTTGGCCAATTCGCTGGAGCATTTGCAAAGAGACACTAAACGCTAAATGATCAGAGAGCGATACCTACAAATCCATATAATCACAGCATGTAACGGAGTAAGTATAAAATAGATTTACCAATATATTCGCTTCTCTTTTTTCTTTTACATTTCTCTCTCTCTCTCTCTCTCTCGCTCTGTCTCTCTCTCTCTTTCTCCTTCTCATGCATACACATATTCTTTCACACAAATACACAAAACCGTATTTAATTATTTTCCAAAATGTTAACAACTATTTCAAATAAACCATAATAACCAATCGTAATTAAAATTTGCTTTTTGTCACTATACCGTCCTTATTTGTTAGACTTACGGTCATATCAAGTTGAACACTGGTTCTCATACAGTCACAAAAGTTAAACTACGTCGAGCCTGGTCAGTACTTAGATGGGTGATCGCCTGGGAATACCAGGTGCTGTAAGTTTGAATGTGTCGGTTGTATAATGAATAATGGCTCGGGATTGGAGCACGGAGTTCCAATTCCAGTCCGGATCATTATATGCACTTACGCTCAAAAACCCTTGGATAAGATAGGAATTTACCTCTTCTCCTCTCAGCTTTGGGTTGATTAGTAAGGACTTGCATCAATAAATCATTATTACCCCCCACACACCCAAATTATTACACTCTAAAAATATTTTCTAGCATTAAATAATCTGCAAAAGGTTGAGAAGCCGTAAAAAGCAAATCAATCAATCCATAGCTGTTGTGCTTTAAAAATGGCCTCTAGTTTTTCCCATTTGTAAATTTAATTGGGATCTAGTCTAAATTTATGACAGATTATCAAAAAGTGATTAGATCTCTTAATCCAGTCTAATACATAAAGGTTGTAAATACGTAATAATTGAGCATCATTATGACACCACTTTCAGGACATAGAAGTTCATGAATTTCCGCATCTCCCTGTCTTTTCTTGCTCTAAATAACTTTTCAGCTTTTACCATGTCTTTTTGTCTCGGTTCCATTCACACAAACACATTAAGCACATTATTCATTGTTTTCCTTGTTCCAGTATGTCCTGCTTGTCTCTCTTTAATTCGGAATGTGTTCCAGAATCCTCACGTTTCTGTTTCTAATCATAGATTTCCTCGTTGTTCCTATTTTTCTTTAGATTTCCTCATTGCAGACAGTCATGATATTAAAATAATTTAAAATACAGCACTAGTACATACGTAATTTTTTTTTTTTTTGCATAGTTTCTTTCTTTATTCCGATTCTATTGACAATGTCCCTCCAGAATGTGAATGATCATGGCTCTCTAGAGTTTCCTATCTCTTGAGGCACTTAACAATGTTTCTCCTTTTTTTAAGCCTCCCACCCCGTTTCACTAACCATTCAAACAAATTCGTCGTGTAGGTGGCTCACAGTTTCTGAAGGTTATGATATCCAAGCTCTTCATTATACGTCCAAATAATTTTATCTGTCTATAATTCTGAGAATAAGTGTACTTTTTTTGTTACCATTTTCGTTATGACTTCCTTGTTACGTTCGCTCCGTCCATGGAATTCTCAGTATCCATGAGTGGAACCACATTTCTGTTGCCTTCAGTTTTCGCTTCATTCGTGCAGATATTGTCAAGCAGTCACGGCCATGCAATAGGATTGATATCACACAATCCAACACTCTTTTCTTCATTCATATTGATTTGTTTCTGTTTTTTTAGTACTTCATTTAGCTTTGTCGAAATGCATCTTTCGCTAATCCAATACGTATTCGGATTTCGGTGTCGCATTTTCCATCTTCTGTCAAAACACTTGTCAGATATTTAAACTTCTGTATTTTTTATGTTGATATTTTCAACTCATAATTCGCATCTACTATTCCTGATAACTATATATTCTGTTTTTTGTTTTTTCTCAATTTCCTTTGTTATATTGCCTAGGAGGACATGTCGTTTTCTTTCTGTGTCATCTACATATAGTCTTAAGATCACGCCCAGCTATAATAAACCCTAGAAGGGCCTCTGGCTCACTTAGGATAGCCTCGCTGAAGAGAACACGTATCCCAGTCTTAGTCCTCTTTCTAATTTTGTGTATCTACTCAATTCATTTTCTATCGGTATGCAGGCGGTTTGATTCCAGTTCTGTATTATTCAAACATCCTTTCAAGGTATTTACTGTCTCCCCACAAAGACAAGTTGTGACACAAAGTCATTTTTTAAGGTAGGGACCCGAGCACGTACACCCGGTCTAGGAACAAAAATTGTCCGCAGACCCATCAACCGTGAGTTGCGCTGGCCTCGGTGCGAGAACCGATCCATCTCTCTGGTGCAATGAGAGGGCGTGGCTTCGATTAGCTGTTCCCCAGGGTTGGGAACATCTCACTATAATTTTCCTCAGTTGCGACTCTGCGTGCATTCTGCCCAAAGACAGAGACGCAGCTGAGAGATGATAAATAGATGTGTTACAAACCACTCGAGAGAGGGGGGGTTTGTAACACACATCTTTTCTAAATATATCTAGATTTCCTCGTAGACCAAATAGATCCTTGTGCTTTATCTTGGCAAATGTTATTTTTCGCACTGTATAAGATATGTGTACATTTCTCTGAAGTTGTATTGCTCTCTCCGATATCATTCTAATCATTAATTTCTTGATATAAGTTACTTATCGCAAATATTAATTCACCCCAAGAAGTTATAAATTTTAAATCAAAGTTTGTTTGTATTTTTAGTAAGTTTTTGGCACTCTTTTTAAATTATAAATTTTAAATCAAAATTTGTTTGTTTATTAAATTTTAAATCAAAATATGTTAGCTTGCCTCGCTACAACTCCAACTCTTAGAATTAAAAAAATCTCAAATTCAGAGAGTTATTCACATTTCGAATGTGCGGATGATATTCGAGGTACAAGAATTTTTTTACAATTTAAAAATAAAAATCTGTTTTTGGCTTGTTTATCGGGGTGACCGTGACAAAGAATCCACACTTAGAAATAGCGCTCTCGAGTCGCTCACATTTGGGTTGATCTGTGCAATGAAAGTACCTCACCCTGGGAGAACTTGTTGTGAATTTTAGTAAATATAAATTCCTTTTTCTTTTTTCTTATTTTTTTTTTTTTGCTATTGTGGTGAATTAACAGAAAAGGTCTGTGAAAAAGAGGTTAGTGTCATGTTTGGGAAAATATTGTAGGTTTTATAATTATAGTTCACTTCAAAGTTGATGGTGTAAATATAAATCCAGAGAATGAATTTATGGACGTTTTTAGATTTATTTAGTCACAACCAAGAAGCTTTAAGCTAAATACCATTCATGATGAACAAATTAAGTATGTATATAATATCGATAAAGAGGAATTTATATTTCAGACATACACGCACGTTATTACAATGACATACACATAAATATGCGTAGATACACACATGTAGAATTTCTTTACTGCAGCCTTTTATGCCTTTAACTCTCATTCATCCAAATTCTATATGTTCATTCAGGGACACGTTGAAATCTCACAAAGAATTACATTAAATCTACACGAAATTAGGAAAAATGATGAAGAAATGCAGTGCGTTATTGATATTCTCTTGCATTCGACAGTGACTATATTACAAATATAAAAAAAGACAACAAAAATGACAGAACCTTTCTCTTTTGGGATCGAAGTATAATATATGCATGGATTCTGATTGGCTGATCAGTGGACGAAAGCCACCAGAGACTAGGGTAAGATGATGTGATAATAAATTGACTATCAAATAAAATATAGTGATAAAATATAAAATGTAAAAGAAATGCTATGATATCGTTAAGACACATCAACTTCATCCGTGACATCGGACCGAAATTGAAAAAAAATACACAGAAAAGAGAATAAATATCAAGGTAGGATTAAACCTAGGTATTTATGTCTTAAGTCGTTGTGTATTAAGGGCTTCGTTCGAAGGAATAAATTCATGGGTCCTTTGGTTAATGAGGTTTTCGACAGTCAAAGGCGAGGATGGTGGACATGGTCTTGGAAATGAAGAGCAGGCTTGTCATAATGGAGTTGATTGAGTTAAATATCCTGAGATGCTATAGGATATAGAGTTATGTAGATCGGCCTATGTATTTAAAGGGAACGGAAAATGAAAGACGGGAAAAGCTACAAGGAAGACTGACAAAAGGAATAATTGAAAGAAACATAATAAAATGGAAGGAAGCCGTTTGGGAATTTAAAATGGCAGGTCGAAAAATTTGAATGAAATAACTAAGATAAGAATCAAATAAAAAATATAAAAGAAAATAAAAGACAAAAGGAAAAGATGAAGAGAAGAAAGCGTAAAAGAAGATGATGATGGATAAGAGAAGATCATGGATACGGGGACAACGCGTAAAGTGAATTCATGGCGGTTGATAATACCAAATGATTAAAATATACAAAAGATAGAAAGAAAAGAAACAGTGACAAAAAAGGAAATTGAAATAGGAATGAATAAGAAAAAGCTATTAAAAATGGTAAAAAGAACAAAAAAACAACAAATGAATGAAGGAAGAATAAAGAAAAACGAAAGAATATATGTAAAAATAAACTAACCAGAAATTAGAAGAAAGTGAGACGTTATGATTTTGAAAATATTCTTCAAAATATGGGAAATTTTCAAGGAAAAGTGACTCTAAACAGAAATATAAGAACGGCAAATGAGTAAAAAAAAAATGCAGGAATAAGGAATAAAAAGTAAGTTTCAAACAGAGGAGATATGAATGAATTCTTGATTAAATTGAAATGATTCTATCGATAAACGGAACAATAAAAGAGACGAAAATTGCGGTAGAGTTATTGGATATGTAAAAAAAATCTTCAAAAATCGAAAAATTCTCCATAAAAATAGAAAAGCGAGTTATTAAAAGATTTCTGAAGAATGAACATCAAACCCAAAATTGGAAGAAAGAGAATATATTTAAATTTTTTTTCTTTTTCTCGAAAATAAGAAACAATAAAATAAATTGGTTATCGCCACAAAAAGTCATAATGGCCATTCAATAATATTAAATAGAGAAAAAAATGATCAATCTTTGGTCCCTACAAACATAGTAATACATGGAATATACTAAAACTACGAATCCCAAATTAAATCCAAATATGATTTACAGTCAGCAATAAAAGGAAGCAAAGTCTGCTAGTGGTGATGGTACTAGAAGATTGATTGATTTGTTTTACGGCTTATCAACCATTTATACATTATTTACAGCCACAAAATATTTTAGATTGCTAGAATATTTTAGAGATAATAATGATTTAGTGGTACAAGTTCTGTTAATTAACCATATCTGGGAGAGAGGCGGATTCAGTCTTTTCCCAAGAGTATTTGTGCGTAAAGTAAATATAACAATCCCGACAGGAATTGGAACCCGTCTCTCCAATTTCCAATTCCGAGACATTATCCATTACATCACCTGCCTATCCAAGCTTACATCACCTGACATTCCAAAGCAGACATGATGATCGTACGAGAAGCGGTGTTTCAACCGGATATAGCATTAAACCCAGAATATGAACATGTATAACAAAAGAGTTTAACACAGTAATAGGAAAAGGTAGATAGATAAAGAACACTTACAAGTTAAAGAAAAAAACATAAAAATATGAAATAAATAAAACCGGAAATTTACAAAAGAACGTAGGATTTAAGAAGAAAAAGATCTTAGAATGTAAAGTCAAGAGAAATTTAGAGAATTAAAAAAACTGCGATGAGAAAAAGAAAACAAACAGAATATCAAAGATGAATGATTACAGCTAATTGTAAGTATACTAAATCCGAGAGTCTGAACATGTGTTGACTCTTCTTTACTAGACTAAAGACTACGAGCTAAAAAAAAAAAAGAAATTTTTAAAGAGACAAAGTTAAGAAAATTTGGAAGACTATATAAAGATACGGGAAGTAAAATAATCAATAGGAATGTTTTAAATTGACGACAGGAAAGGTTTGGGGAAAAAAAAGATATGAGAAGGAAAAGGGAGAAAAATTATAATATGTCCAAAGATTACAATAAAAAAGTATGCGATAAAAAAATTCAAATGGAAAACAGGGGAACATTTTAAAGATAAAATAGATACAAGACAAAGCAAATTAAATATTTTAAAAGGAAAAGACGAATATGTAGAAGATACACAATGAAAGTTACTATGAAATGTCGAAGGACCAAATGGGTCTCCATAAAACCAAAAAATAACTAATGTCTTTTGATGATCAAGAATTTTGAATAACTGTTTATATTTTTGAGATGAGATATTGTAGCTATTTACACTATTTACATTGTTCGAACTGTTGTTCTCATATTTATTGCCATATTCACGACGTTTCGACAGTCACTGGATGATATACGTGATAAAAGGTTGGGATTCCTTTTATTTAGTCCATGGAGGAGGATGGTTCTTTTTTCACGTTGCATCCTTTTCTCTCAGTTAATTCCTTTTAGTAACTCAACTCATCAAGTCTTTGTTTCCTCCCTGCTTTGGTCCGGTAATGAACTCCCAACTCTTTGGGTCAAGACACTGTTTGGATTACTTCAACCAAATTTCCTAAGCCGGACAATCATAGACCTGAATACAAAATGGGAACCAGTAATTCAGAGAGCTAGAGAAAAACAACAATAACAGAAATTGTAATATGAGCCCGGGTAAAAATCTTTGCTGTGACATTAGGTTTATAAGTTCCAAAAATTCACTCCAAATATAGCCCCAAGAACACGTGGCCCAGTGGATAAAAGCGTTGGTTGAAATAATCCAAGAAATGACTTGACCCAAATTCTTGGGAGTTCAATAGCCAAAGCGGGGCGAGAAGAAAAACTTAAAGAGTTGAGTTACTGAATGGAATTAACTGAAACTGATATATCTAAAGAAAAAAAGCATGGTACGTGAAATAACAACAATCTACTGTGGACTAAATAAAGGGTTCGGTTCGAAGTCCCAACCTTTATCACTTGATGAAGTCCGGACATTACAATGGCCGAAACGTCGTTAATATGGCAATAAAAATGAGGATAACAATCCGAACAATGTAAATAGTGTAAATAAGAATCTTGAAACAAAAGAATTCACCAAAACATTTTAAATAGATTACATGTCAAAATCTTCTTCTTTCTTATTTGTCACTATCTGTTAACAGATGCAACTATTAAAATCGTCTGCGCTTTGCCCGTTTGGCAGAAGATTTGGCAGAATCATTGGCAGAGAAGTTGGCTTTCATTCAGGAGTCTTCCATTAAAAGATAACCCACAATTTTCTTATATCTTTCCTTTATTTCTATTTTTTTCGCCAATTTCCAGAGTGAGTGAAGTCATATATGATGTCTGCCTTGAAACGTTAACTGTCTAAATTTCTAGGATGTGTACTTTACATTATTTACATTCTGGCTGTTGTCCTCATCTTTTTATTATTATCGCAACGTTTCGGCTGTTGTTTCCTTTATCCTTCTTCAGGTGCATTTCAATCAGGATAACTTTCAGGGAATTTCGAACTGAACCTTTTATTTAATCTATGTGGTTATATTTTTCTCATTTCGTGATTAATGACAATAGTTGGTTAAAACGTTGGACTGTGAAATTGCTAATATATAAAATGTGAGTTCAATCCCTGGTACGATTAATACTGAGAGACCCATTGTAAATAGAGTGAGCACTAACTGAGCAGTATTAAATAGGAATAAGACGATATGGCCATAGACATGGAACACGGAACGAGAAGACCCCAACACAGACCCCAACAGAAAATAGGCAATAATCTCAAACTTATTCTTACCTAAAAGACGAAGAAAAAGATGTTTTATGTGTATGTGTGTTTTTATCAAGAGCATCATATTTGTCGAGTAAGTTTTCATAAAAATAATCGATTATTCATTAGAATATAAGAATCCCAATTACATTGCTGTTACATTTGTTCTGTTGGTAAACCTTTACAGAAGAAACTCATCCATTTATAATCAATTACCTCATGTACGTAAGAGTGAAAATGCAATTCACACTTACATTGTAATGCATTGGCAGCAGCCAATAGATCAAAGCTAAGTTTGGTGACAAAGATTTCATGGATTTTAAAATACTTGAAAAAATTCATCTTTGGCTAGAAATATTTTTCGCAAAAGACAGCATAATAATTCGATTTATTAAATATTTTATGTGTTGTTTTCTTTTTATTGAAACCAAAAAATGTCTCCAAATTCTGAATCACCATTCAATTGTACTGTACTTGTTAACTTTTCCTATTCATAAGATATGCTTCCGCATAAGTATTAGTCACAACAAGCATATTAATCATTATTTCTTATATATTTTGTAAGCAAGAGACTGTGCTATTGAAAGCGAAATCAGCTTTTCAAATACATAACTTGTTCATCCTTTTCTTTTCGATTTTTATTTCGTCTTTTTCTTTTGCATTGGGACTAACACTCAAGAGCACACTTATTCAACTGTCAAGCGCTGATGTCATTGTCATGGAGTTCATCATGTGAAATATGGCAATCAATGATTTGTTGTGCTTCACGCTAGGAACCGTAGACCAGACATGCGCTTTGGGACATGTAATGCGTGTGCTTTGGTTGAAGAGGGATTGAGGTGGCTTGTTAAAAGTTCAACACGAATTTCAGGTGAACCAATTAAAGCAGTTTTATTCAGGATATTCTGAAAATAACCGCCCAATTGAAAGGAATGTTTCTTTGATGGGATTTTGCTGCAGAGAGAAAACAAACATATAGGTAAGAAAGAAAAAAGAAAAAGAAAGTACAAAGAAGAAAGAAAAGAAATACACAGAAGAAAAAAGAAAAAAAGAAAGGATAAAAAAGAAAAACATAGAAAAGAAGAAAGAAAAAAGAAAGACAAAAACGAAAAAGAGAACGAAAGAAAAAAGAAAGACAAAAAAGAAATAAGAATAAAAAGAAAGAAAAGGAAAAAGAAAGCAAAAAGAAAGGGGAAAAGAAAAAGAAAGAGAAAATGAGGGGGAGAATTACAAACGAAAAATATATCATGAAATGAAAAATTAAGAAAACGATATAAGAAGCACGTTGAACGAAGAAAACGAACATGAAAATAAAAATAAAAAGTATAATCAAAATAAATGAAAAGAAAAAAGAAAAAAAACTAATACAAAGGAATGAATGAAAACATCCGGGAAAAAGAATTATATTCGCCCCACCCCCAAAGAAGACAACCTGTTTTAACCGAGCCGTTAATGCCAAGAAATCTCGACAGTAATAAAAGAAAGAAGAAAAAAAAATCATGATAAAAATTGACTTTTGAAATGGTTTTGTCTCGTGTTCTTTCATCTTGAGAGTCGTTCAGCGATTTGATCTTAATCCAACACGGAGGGATTAAACACTAAAAAAATGTTTTTGAATCACACATAAAGGAAAGATTTGTGCTCGCGTACAGCTACATGGCAACAACCTGAAGTTTCTTACTGTTGGCAGAAGGCGAAGAGTTTGGATTTTTTGTTTTTTTATTAAGAAAAATCAGGTTGAGAGTTTTTGTGCTGTGGGCCTTTATCAGGGAGGAAATGTTTTTGTCTGTAAAACAATTTGTAATATCCGCACTGAATATTAACTGATTCTTTGCCAAAGCTGTTGGCTCGCAGATTTTCCAAATGAGAAATGAAGGACTGTCTTCTCCTACCGGCGAGATTTAAGTGATCAATAAGCAGAGTTAGGCATGATTTCGACTACATATTTAATGAGACATGGACGGAAATCTACTTTTTTTTAATATGGTTAGAACAAAATTAGATTTTAAATACAACTTTCAATATTCTTTGTCTTCTTTTATGTGCAGTATCCCCTTAGAACGTAGGCGATTATGGCTCTCCACAACTTAGCCTTCGTAACTGCAATCAAGGTTTGTTTTTTTTATTATCCCTCTTAACACCTGTCTTGTCATCCATTTACACAAGCTCGGTTAGCTAGGTTTTCTTCTGTTCCTTTGCTTTGAAATGTCTTTGTGAGTGTCAAATATATTTATTACGAGCTTAAAAGTTGTCCCGTCGATCAGCATTTAAGCTAGCTCTTGCGGAGGGCTCTTGATTAAGCCTTCAAGTTGGTTCGGAGTTTGAGAGACCCTAATTCTTGGCAGATTCTCAGCATTGGAAACTGTCCTGGCTGTCGTTTGATCTTGGTTTTCATTTGTACGGGACTTTCTTTTCGTCACTGCATCTTTGGGTCTTTTTGTTTGCAATCTGGTGCTCTATTGACGGAGATTTCTTTTTGCGAGGCATACTGCTGCCATATACAATAGGCAACAATAAACTACAGTAGAACTCAAAATAGATCGCTGCATTTAAGTATTGCATTAATATTTAAGCCTACCTTTTAAAAGTTCAACGATAATTCTTCTGTCGTCACTTAATTTAAAAACAATCTGATGTACGTAGGTCCTTACTTTCCGAACAAATAATTATTTTTATTTCATGCCTGACCATCGCTGGATTTCGTAACTAATTTCGATTACTCCCAAATTTATTTCCAAGTTAAAGACTTGTATTCGTACAAAAAAAAAAACGTCGCAAAAAATCACATGAGAAATCGACTAAAACAATCGCAATAATGAAAACTAAGGAAGTCCAAAATTTTCATAACACCAGCTATTGAAATTTAGAGAGTTGTGTCATTTTAATTGAAAAAGTGTGTCACATTAACACACTGACATCCGCATTTATTATATAGATATGTCCCCAAAATTGCAAATGTCACTTTATGAGTCTAAGATAAGGGTCCGTTTTGTTTTTCGTTTCGTTAAAACTTCCTCATTGTTCACATGCTTCATCCGTGGAATTTTTCGTATTCTTCTGTCGAACCATATCCTCATATTCGAGGAGATTGTACCACATTTTCTGCCAGATAGGAGGACTGATATTACATCGCAGATGAACACATTTTTCTTTGTTTCTAATAAAATGTTCTTGTTTCTTAATACTTTCTTTAGCTTTTGGAAGACATCTTTCGCTATTGCAATACAACTTATAGATATTTTATAAAGATAAATTACTTTAGCGTATACGCAAAAGACCAACAACCATGAAGGTTGAATAATGATATTCTAACAGTCTTTATCCTCCAGGTTGTCATTCCAAGAATAAATATGTCATATCTTGATTTTTACATTCATGAATCTGAATGAACGAAGCCTCACCGAAGCCGGGCGTTTCCATAACAGATTGTCTGTTTCCAGCCCTTCCAACCCGTATATAGAGAGATAGGTGGGGAACGAGAAATCGGTCTGAAGATGCGCACAATGTCCGCACATTTGCTCTTAATATCCGGTGCTATATGAAAATTTGTCGAAGTGTCGCAGGAAACGAACACCAGGATCTCTTCGAACGTACCTAATTAGGCCTGCTTGGCTCATCTTGGAGACATACCTTCGATCCTATTCTGCCAGCAGCAATACAAAGTGAATTATTAATCTTCACCCGGCAAGAAATGCCGACGATGATGAGACGATAGATGTTACACAATATATGTGCACGTGTGCACATATATTGAAGCTACACAAAATATTACTACACTTCATATTTGAAGCTACACAAAAAGCGTTTTTCCAACATAAGATTTAAAAATCACCCCACATTCGATTTAAGGATAAGAGGCTTTTCAATATTTACTCACAAATAGCGTTTGATGAAAGTGAGGTTCTTGTTATATATTTTATGCCATATTTTATTATCAAGTATTTTTTTATATGCGTATGTGCGTACCTGTATACTCGGAGATATATGTAAATGTGAATTTATTCTTGCAGGTCACCTAGATGCATATGCATGCGTGTGTATTGGCGCCTGCATGTCTCCTTTACAAAATGAGAATATATTGGGAAGTCAAATAATTTTTTATCGGTATATTTCACTTTATTATTATAATTTAGATTTTTTTTTTGATCCCAAACATGATCTATCACAGATTCCTGTCATGAATTCTTGGGATAATCTCGTAATTCCCGTTGCGTTCTCTATTGTTTAGTACTATTTAGGCTGGTTGCCACCCAGTTTTAGAGAGCTCTTCTGATATTTAACTCCTCACTAGCGAGAGATGCCTTTCCTAAGGTAATTTTAGCTAAAAGGCACCCGAAATTTGAACTCGGCTCGCTGTTTTCAATTAACGCGTGGGTATCCGTTACTCACACTATATATCGTCTATCACTTACTTAAATTGTATTAAGCTCTCTTTCATCAGCGCGGTATCTCACATTGAATCCCCCTTCATTAGTTAGGCATCCCGCATTGAATCTCCCTTTCATTAGTTAGGCATCCCGCATTGAATCTCCCTTTCATTAGTTAGGCATCCCGCATTGAATCTCCCCTTCATTAGTTAGGCATCCTGCATTGAATCTCCCCTTCATTAGTTAGGCATCCTGCATTGAATCTCCCTTTCATTAGTTAGGCATCCTGCATTGAAGCTCTCTTTCATTAGTTAGGCATCCCACATTGAATCTCCCTTTCATTAGTTAGGCATCCCGCATTGAATCTCCCTTCATTAGTTAGGCATCCCGCATTGAAGCCCCCCTTCATTAGTTAGGCTTCCCGCATTGAATAGCCCCTTTCATTAGTTAGGCATCTCGCATTGAAGCTCTCTTTCATTAGTTAGGCATCCTGCATTGAATCTCCCTTTTTCATTAGTTAGGCATCCCGCATTGAATCTCCCTTTCATTAGTTAGGCATCCTGCATTGAATCTCCCTTCATTAGTTAGGCATCCTGCATTGAAGCTCTCTTTTCATTAGTTAGGCATCCTGCATTGAATCTCCCCTTCATTAGTTAGGCATCCCGCATTGAATCTCCCTTTCATTAGTTAGGCATCCTGCATTGAATCTCCCCTTCATTAGTTAGGCATCCCGCATTGAATCTCCCCTTCATTAGTTAGGCATTCCGCATTGAATCTTCCTTCATTAGTTAGGCATCCCGCATTGAATCTCCCTTTCATTAGTTAGGCATCCTGCATTGAAGGTCTCTTTTCATTAGTTAGGCATCCTGCATTGAATCTCCCTTTCATTAGTTAGTCATCCCGCATTGAATCTCCCCTTCATTAGTTAGGCATCCCGCATTGAATCCCCCTTCATTAGTTAGGCATCCCGCATTGAAGCTCTATTTCATTAGTTAGGCATCCCGCATTGAATCTCCCTTTCATTAGTTAGGCATCCCGCATTGAATCTCCCCTTCATTAGTTAGGCATCCCGCATTGAATCTCCCCTTCATTAGTTAGGCATCCCGCATTGAAGCTCCCTTTCATTAGTTAGGCATCCCACATTGAAGCTCTCTTTCATTAGTTAGGCATCCCGCATTGAATCTCCCCTTCATTAGTTAGGCATCCCGCATTGAATCTCCCCTTCATTAGTTAGGCATCCCGCATTGAATCTCCCTTTCATTAGTTAGGCATCCCGCATTGAAGCTCTCTTTCATTAGTTAGGCATCCTACATTGATTCTCCCTTTCATTAGTTAGGCATCCCGCATTGAATCGCCCCTTCATCAGTTAGGCATCCCGCATTGAAGCCCCCCCTTCATTAGTTAGGCATCCTGCATTGAATAGCCCTTTCATTAGTTAGGCATCCCGCATTGAAGCTCTCTTTCATTAGTTAGGCATCCCGCATTGAATCTCCCTTTCATTAGTTAGGCATCCCGCATTGAATCTCCCTTTCATTAGTTAGGCATCCCGCATTGAATCTCCCCTTCATTAGTTAGGCATCCCGCATTGAATCTCCCTTTCATTAGTTAGGCATCCCGCATTGAATCTCCCCTTCATTAGTTAGGCATCCCGCATTGAATCTCCCTTTCATTAGTTAGGCATCCCGCATTGAAGCTCTCTTTCATTAGTTAGGCATCCCGCATTGAATCTCCCTTTCATTAGTTAGGCATCCCGCATTGAATCTCCCCTTCATTAGTTAGGCATCCCGCATTGAATCTCCCCTTCATTAGTTAGGCATTCCGCATTGAATCTTCCCTTCATTAGTTAGGCATCCCGCATTGAATCTCCCTTTCATTAGTTAGGCATCCCGCATTGAAGGTCTCTTTCATTAGTTAGGCATCCCGCATTGAATCTCCCTTTCATTAGTTAGTCATCCCGCATTGAATCTCCCTTCATTAGTTAGGCATCCCGCATTGAATCCCCCTTCATTAGTTAGGCATCCCGCATTGAAGCTCTATTTCATTAGTTAGGCATCCCGCATTGAATCTCCCTTTCATTAGTTAGGCATCCCGCATTGAATCTCCCTTCATTAGTTGGGCATCCTGCATTGAATCTCCCCTTCATTAGTTAGGCATCCCGCATTGAAGCTCCCTTTTCATTAGTTAGGCATCCCACATTGAAGCTCTCTTTCATTAGTTAGGCATCCCGCATTGAATCTCCCCTTCATTAGTTAGGCATCCCGCATTGAAGCTCTCTTTCATTAGTTAGGCATCCCGCATTGAAGCTCTCTTTTCATTAGTTAGGCATCCTGCATTGAATCTCCCCTTTCATTAGTTAGGCATCCTGCATTGAATCTCCCCTTCATTAGTTAGGCATCCCGCATTGAATCTCCCTTCATTAGTTAGGCATCCCGCATTGAAGCTCTCTTTTCATTAGTTAGGCATCCCACATTGAATCTCCCTTTCATTAGTTAGGCATCCCGCATTGAATCTCCCTTTCATTAGTTAGGCATCCCGCATTGAATCTCCCCTTCATTAGTTAGGCATCCCGCATTGAATTTCCCCTTCATTAGTTAGGCATCCCGCATTGAAGCTCTCTTTCATCAATGTCCTAATCTTTATTTCCATATTCTCGACATTTCGGCCGCTGTACGCTCCGAAATTTTTCAGGTGAAATACGTTTGAATTACGAAGTGAACCCTTTATTTCGTCCACGACAGTAGATTGTTGTTATTCCCCGTGCCATGGCTTTTTGAGTAGCTCAATTTCAGTTCATTCCCTTTAGTAACTCAACTCTCCAAGTCTTTGTATCCTCCCTGCTTTGGTCCGGTAATGAACTCCCAACTCTTTGGGTCAAGTCAATGTTTGAATTACTTCAACCAAATCTCCTAAGCCGAACAATCATCGACCTGAATTCAATATGGCAACCAGTAATTCAGAGAGCAAGAGAAAAACAATAACAGAAATTGTAATATGAGCACGAAAAAAAATCTTACTGGGACTTTAGGTTTATATGCCCCCAAATTTCATTCCCTGGTATCCCCAAGGACACGTGGTCCAGTGGATAAAAGCGTTGGTTGAAGTAATCCAAAGTGTGACTTGACCCAAATTGTTGGGAGTTCAATAAAAAGCACAGCAGTTAGAGAAGAAAAAATTGGAGAATTGTTTTACTAAAGTATTAACTGAAACGGAAATATCCAAAAAAAGGCTTGTCACGTGGCATAATGCAATCTACCGCCGTGGACTAAATAAAGGGTTCAGGAATGACGGTGCGTACAACGGCCGAAACGTCGTGAATATAGTAATAAAGATTGGGGCAATTCGAACGATGTAAATGGTGTAAATATTTATTTTCTAATCACACATTTTTTACTTATCTTTGTTATTTTTCTGTTCATTCCTCTTATCTTCTTCCATCTGTTTCCTCTATTTCCACCAAGTTTTTTCGATTCTCTGTAATTTGTTATGATTCTACCAAATTGATCGATTGGTTGAGTTTATATATATATATATATATATATATATATATATATATATATATATATGATTATTTTTTTCTAAAAAAAAAAAATTTATAACATAAATATGTTATAAAATCACTACAAAAATAGCCATTTTGTTTCAACACTCTCGGTGTCTTATCAAGTGATGATGTTGAAGATAAAATAAATGGTTTTAAAAGTTTCAAATTTTTATAAAAAAATAATTATATCTGCTCTACTTTGTATTGAGCACTCTTTTAAGAATAGTAATTGTCGGTTATTGTAATACATTCCGTATACACCAATTATATACTTGTATATATATATATATATATATATATATATATATATATATATATATATATATATTTGCGTGTGTTTTCTTTTTGTGCGGCTTATCAACAATTCGTCAGATTGTAGGAGGTTGCTTACAGTTACCTGTGTTCCCAAGTGGTCCCCATCGAAGTACTAATCAGGCTCGACACTGCTTAACCTCGGTGATCGAATGAGATCCGGTCTTTTCAGTGTGATTTGATCGTAGTTTCTGCTAAATCTACAATTATATTTTCTTTCCAATCTTTTTATTGTTATTTAGTAGTGGAAAGGTGGGGATCAAATCCAGTACATTGGCAAATAGTCAACAAGATGTGTTTCTGAACCATCATGTTACGTAAAGTAATATTACTCTCTCTTTCTCTTTCTCTCTCTCTCTCTCTCTCTCTCTCTCAAACTCTACTCTTTTCTAACTTTTCCGTTCCATTCATTTTCTACTTTTTTATATTACTTACCCTTTTTTCATACGCCCGTCTCCTCCCCCTCCCCCTCCTCCTTTGGCGACATTTATCCTCCTTGTTCCAATCTCTCTCCACTAGTCCCACCGATACAACTCCCATTCCTCCTACAATAATATCCATTACTCTTCCCGCCCAATGATATGCCAAGTTTTCTCTTGTTATTAATCTTATAACAATGGCGATTATCGCGCTATCATTCTGTGTTGCAGAAGATGTAGGATTGGACAAGGCGAACGAGATCTTGAAAAGACAGTTGCGAGATCCCATTAATCATACGCTTGGTTGAAGGAGTTCAAACGGACAAACAAAAGAGAGACGTGCTCAACATGAGAAAAAATCAACAATGATGTATGGTCCTAATACATAAAAAAGTAAACGTGAAAATGTTCCGCCTGCGGTCTTATTCTGTGTATATGACTTGTTTACATGCGCTGGACAACATCCAGCCACTTGAAACAAAAACAGATGAGAGGGAAAGAGAATGAGTCAGGGAATGGTAGACAGAGGGAGTGCGGGTAAAGGAAGGAGAGATCAACATTTTACATATTTACCCTAAAAAAAACTACAAAATAAATATGATGAGAAAATTTCAAAGGATCGACGATAGAAACAAAGAGCTTAATATTTGTTACAAACATCGAAATATGACACATAAATCCTGAGGTAAAATATACCTCACAGAGAGTAAGCAAATTATTCCGTTATAAGAAAATGTCATTAGAAAGGAAGAAAAAAGTATTAAATTGTTTATGTCATCATGCTAGAATTTTTTTTCTCGTCCTAGCCCATCTTGCGCCTTTCCAAATCTACCATTTTCCCGTACATTGAAGAATGTTGTCGTCTAAGTTCTGGTGCGTCTGCTATACATGTCAAGGTTCTTGACAAAATCCAAAGAAGGATCTGTAATGTAATCGGTCCTGACTTGGTATCTCGACTTCAGTCACTTTCTCACATATATGACTTGACTCTCCTCTGTCTTTTCTACAAATATTTTCATGGCAACTGTGCCGACGACCATTTTTTCCCTGGGGTCCCGACTATATGAATTTAAGCGTGCTACTAGATTGTCATCAAGGTCCCACGCGTTTACTGTAGAAATAGCTAAATGCAACCGCCACTTCTACTCCACCAGTTTCTGTTCTTGCACTTCCCGCCTGTTGATCTCCCTTCCGTCTACTTGCTTTCCTGATAACTAAAAAAATTTTTAATGCAACGTCAATCGCCATCTCCTTGAATTTCGTTCATCTTTTGTTCTTTCCTCAATCGTCTCTAGTCTTTTCTCTCACTTACACTCCCCGTAAACCTAGGCGTACTAGTGGTATTTCCACCTTGCTTGGAATGAAATGATAAAAGAAAACAACCATTCACCTATATGGCAGTAAATGCCAGACAATCTGCCTACAGGCATACAAACTCGAAGCAAGAGATATGTCGATCTGTAGACTGAGAGAACACGTGAGGACCAAGGACGTCCTAAAGAAAAGTGGAAGTAGAAAATTTGGAAGATACAATTACACTTTCTAGCGCCATATTATGGGGAAAGAGGGTTTGGAAATTTTAAAGCTTACAGGACATATTGAAGGAAGGGAATACAGAGGGCAATAGCGGGTAACCGACATAATGGGTTTGTGTGAATGGATGGTAGAGTGGAAAAAAGAGGTATGATAAAGAGACAAATGAAGGAATATAGCATATAAAAGGTGCATATATGTATGCGAATATCAAAGCAAGTGTACTTTATAAGTATATATATATATATATATATATATATATATATAATTTATTCAGTCAAAATGATTAATATTCATCTGTATTTGGCCGAATAGACATAATTGTGAAAAATGTGTTCCACTAATCATGTGTTGCAAATCATTCGGGCAATGGCAACTGGCATAAAAAAGAAACGTGCTTCTGTCTCGAGCATGAATTGATTATCACTAATGGTTGACTGATCCTTTTCAAGTATGCCCATCTACTAGAGTGGCTAGATAATCGCTTTTGCGTACGCCTGGTCTGCTATATTTGTGCTGCTTCAACACCCACAGAGAAAATTTGTGATTTATAAAGCAACTATGCGTAGCGGACCTTAGTTACAGTTTCACTTAATCTGGTACGATCAGCATTTTTGAACAAGGCCAGTACAGTAAATCCCTCGGTCACGAGGACAACTACAGACGGATTCTGAAGAATTTTGTTTACACGCCTAAAGGGTTTATTAGAATCCATGATATGATTTTCAGGAACATTCCTCTCCATGTTGATAAGTTATATTTATTAGAACCAGGAGGCACCTCGAGGCGGTGTAACGGTTAGCAAGCTTGTCTTGCTAGATCAGTTACGACTGAAAAGTGAGTTCGATCCAGATGCCCCATACTTTCGGCCTTGTGCCACATCTAAGTTACGCTTAGAAAATCAATATTTATTAGAACCCGTGTCTCATGATCAAAAAGCAAACATTCTAACCATACGTACACCAATATAATAAAATCAATATGAGACAAAACAGCCTGAGACTGAGCTAGATGAAAGGAAATCTGACCTGAGGAAATCGGGTACAACTTAAAATTTACTTGTCCACTCATAAATAAAAAAACAGGATCATTTTAGGGAGGAATGATTTTTTATAAACTATCATTTATTATCATTTTCTCTCCATGGCATTTATCAAAATCGAAAAATATTGATATATATTATTTTAGAAATGAGGTCCTGTTCCTAATATAGGTAAAGTGATAAATTGATTCCTGAATTCATAAACAGTTATCAGAACCTAATAACTTTGTTTTTATTTACAGGTACCAGGTTTTTAACTGTGGTTATGCCATTGATAACTTCGTCCTATTGATGTTGTTCTTTTTTTATCTTCTACGTATGTATACTGTAATGACAAAAGTAAGCAGGTGTAGGCTTTAAGAAAGCTTTATTCAACTAAGAATACAAGGTTCGCGTATAGCGTGGTTTTATAGTTCCAGTAAACAGAAATAGCTTTCTCAAAGAGGAGAGTAACGAAACACTTGATTATTCATAATATATACTTTCAAAAATGTATGTATAACTGTTTCAGAACGGATTTACCACTGTATTTATAATATGAAAATAGTCTCCTTTCGAAAGCGATCAAAAAACATTATTTTTCGCTTCAGACAATTTGTAGGGTAGACGAAGGTCTAATGAATCTACTAAAATTGTTTAAAAAAATATTCTTTATTTCTTTACGAGCGGACCAGTTAATTTAAGTAATGCCGAATACTGTATTATGCCATTATGTTTGATGAAACCATGTGTTTCTTGAAAATCATTTTTATTTTTTAATTGGCATGCAAGGCAATAAAGCAACTAAGAAACAAGGGGTTACGTGATTTGAAAGAATTAGAAACTCACACACTAATAATGAGCGGGAAGAGGAAAGAGTAATCAGAAGGACATTAGATAGCGATTGACATTAGATTTAAATTTTTGCAGATTAAAGTTGGCTGAAAAACCTGAAGGCGGAAGGCAGTCCCACAAGCTAGAAGTGCGAGAAAAGAAACTCTTAGAATAGAACTTACATCTAGCCAGCTCAACTGTAAATTGATGAGATCTGGACGTTAGTCTAGTAATACGCTTAAATTAAAAAAAATGTCTACATACCATAGCGAAGATCTCTTCTGATCAGTTACCATGAAAGTATTTATAGAAAAGACACATAGAGGTAACATTACGGCGATGGGACTGAAGCTGAGCCACCAAGTCAGGACCAATAATATTGTTGATTTTTTATTTGGATTTTATCAAGGTGCTCAAAGTAAATAGCAGGGACACTTGACCATATGTGGCAGCAATACTCTAAGTATGAAGGAATGGTAGACTTATACATATGAGTTATATGGTGATATAAATCATCATAAAACTTCTCCGTTACGATACTGATTTCTAAGACCAATGATCGATAAGTCAATAAACCAATGATTGGATCTAATATATATATATATATATATATATATATATATATATATATATATTTCACCCAGTGCAAGGCTCGACGGTCACTAAAAAGTAGAGGTTTACTGTTGAAATGTTAATGATAAATGACGTGTGAGAAATGAATGGGAGAGAAGGTCATAAGATGTAGGAAGGTCATTATAAAGATTATATTATAAAGATAGACTGCGATTGATCATTGTCTTGAAGAAATTAAGAGTGTATTGTTTAGTGAAGGCACAACGCATGGGAGATTGTTAGTCTTGAAACAGGAATGAAATAAGGGTATTTCGACTCGATGGAAGTAGGATGACATGTCCTAGCAATATAAATTTGCAGCGGTGGATTCATGTCTCTGTGTGCGTGTGTGTGTGCGCGCGCGTGAGAGTGTGTGTGTGTGTATGTGTGTGTGTGTGTGCGTGCATTGATAGAGTAAAGAAAATATAACAAAAGTTCGATAGAAGGGGAGTTAGAACAAAAATATAGAAGTAGAGAGAGAAAAACAGAAGTGAAGAGAGAAAACGACATATATTTGTATGCCATTCACACTGGCCAACAATCAAATAGAAAGAAGTCAGCCGAAGGACGTTTGATATTTACATTAACTTTCACCAACTCTTGATATTGCTGTGCACAGCTGTGAATAATTCACTGGCATGTATTCATACGCTTTTACATAAATTATCTCCCTCTGGGAGTTTGTTTATGATACAACTTCGTTCAAACGCCGTTTTTATATGCCAGAAGCTCCTAACAAACTTTTTATGACTTATCTTTCTTCATGTA